ATTGCTTAAAAAAAGTTTTCAGGTTATATTACTTGCTGACAGCCATCATTTTTCAACAGCTTCTATCTAGTCATCTATTAGGTCTCTGATTGCTGCAAGTTAAGCATAGCTACACTGCAAGACACGGGTCACACAAAATCAGCTCATGGAAAATTTTGTTTCAGTAATCTCACTCCATTAGCTAGAATATCTTTCAGATCCTCCTTGAGAGTTGGGCTGGCCCAGAAATCTGCCCTATAATTCACATTCCTTGATATTGACAGTACGAGCAGGCTGAGAAGCCATGAAACTGCTCACCAGTCCATGACAAAAACAGAGTAACTCCTCAGAGAGAGGTGAATACCGCTACTACACATAGGCAGCAAATGCAGATTGATTAATATTTCATTGCAGAGTGAAACATTTAATGTTATTCCTCTTTGAAATGTCACTGCACATCTGGGCATGGCTGCCTTTACTTTCTACGTGCTATTTCTGAAAAGTTTACTTCTTCCCTCTTACCACAGACGGGTCTGTTGCCCACAGTGTGACTTCTAGTATTGTTGCCCAAGAACTTAAAAAAAATCGAATCGGTATTAGTAATAACAACTATTAGGTCACTGTTGTCCAATGGTCTTCAAGAGAGTGGGGTGTAAGAAATGAAACTAAATGCTTAAACTAATGGATTATCCCACAACAAGGTACTCTGATCAGTTAGTGAGAAACAGCTTGAAGCCTTCCAGAAGTGACAGCCATGCCATGCAGCAGCATGCTGTAGCAGAGGTCTGGAGAGTGTGATGTGGAGAATAGCAGCAGATGCTCTGCCTTTGAGTAGAGGCACTTCCTGCGGTGGCTGTCAGGCACACAGACCTGCTGAAGCCAGCATGAGGGAGCAGGGTGGAGCAGTTTCTGCAAGCTCTGATTTTAGCCAGAGAGAGAGGTAGGTGTAGTAAGGCACTCTAATGTCTTTTTAATTTCTGTGTGCACCATAATTAGGTATTAATCCCAGAAGTGTAGAAAACAAATGATATGTTGACAGCTCCTTGAAAACAAATATCTCACACTGCAATTCTTAATATAGCCACAGAGCTTCAGGCAAGAAGCACTTCATCATTTCAGATGTACTATTCTAATTATAGCTTGTGTTTTAATTGATATTTCTTTTTTCAATTTCCCTACCAAAAGATACCACCATTGAGTGAAAGAAAGTCCTTTACTCTTGCTATAAAGTGGAGTTACTTTACTGTAGGGTTGGACTTGGGCCCTACTGATAAATTGGGAAATATTTTTCCTAGGTGCTGGTCAAATAGAAAGCTCACTGACACTGTTGTTGCTATAATATGGAAGAGAATAATCCAAATGCTTTATATGGAGAGTTACTGAACTACAAGAAGTCACAGGTGTGAGGCATCTACTACCATCCTGTAGCGGGGTCATCAGTAAACCCCCCAGTACAAGGCCATGTTTCTACTTTGTATTCATTATCATTTCCATTTGGAAATAGAAAGAGTCCCTTTGGACCCACCCAGTCTAGTAATATCAGAAAAGCATGGCAGCCTGACATCAATAGCAGATTTTACTTTATATCTTTTGAAAAGTTCATTATGTTTGTTAATCCATTTTGCTTTTTCTTGTTCTGGAACAGGCAAGATAAGGGTGCACAGCTGGCTTCTTTGAAAAAAAAAAAAAAAAGGTGCTTTATTACCCAAATACAGCAGTTTGTTTATCTGAAAAATAAGTAGAAAACGTAATTTTATTAAGAGCTTCTGATATTTGAAAACATAACTCCTAAATAAACACTAATTGCCAATATTACATGTCACATAGATTTTTCTTTTGTAGAATCTTTAGTGAATTCTCAGATCACAAGAAACATTTCGATAACTACAAAACCAAGAAGATATAGGGATTTTTTTTTTTTTTTGCTTATAAAATGTGTGTCTCTGTGTGTCTGTGTATGTCTGTATGTTTTCTACAGGGAAAAGGAAGACAGTTTACCAAAACATAATATAAAAACAGATAAAGAATAGCTAATGCATTTTTCCCATTGAATCCATTCCTGAGTTAAGTCAGTGGACTATTTGCCATAGGCTCCTGTAATTTTTGGACCAGGGTCATGAAATTTGGTCCAAGCCTATTGGAACGAATGCAATTCTTAGCAGGGAACAAAGTATTCACATGAAGAGTTTGCTTTCCCTTTAGCAGTCACCATGCTTTCATAAGCCCAAGGTTTTGAAAAATGGTCACATCTGGCAGAGATTTAGGGAACAAGATAAAATTCTTAAGCTTAGTCGCAGAGTAATTTGTAGAAAATCACCCATGCCTGTGTAGAAATTGGCTGCTCATTACTTGATGAAATATTCAGTTCTATCCTGGAGCTGGGGCTGGTGCAGAGGTCTCACACAAGGGCTGCTGCAGGAGCTGTGCACGGGCATTGCCCTCTGCCTCAGGTGGGATGCCTCCGAGAGGAACAAGCTAGATGGGAACACTCTTTGTCTTTGATGTGTTCACTTGGGAACCCAGGCACTGGCCTTCATGTGTGTCCTGTGGGAAAAATGTCTGTAAAGTTGCCTGAGTGGCCACAGACTCACAGACTCCCTCCTTGGGCTGCCAAGTCTCGCTGCAGACAGGAGCATTCCATGGTGACAGCAAAATTTCCTCCCACCTCCAAAGCATGAGCAGCTTTCTGACTGTTCACACAGACCTGCCTTTGGTTTAGCTCTCAGGTGAGGTGGGGCTTTTCTGTGCCTTGCATTGCCTCGCCACTGCCACTCGAAGGCAAACTGATTTATTATCACTGGGGAGATGATCAGCCTTGGTGCACATTTGCAGGTGATCATGCATCTGGTGATGGTCAGTACGGGCCACAGCACCTGCTGAGGAGCTATTTGAGGGTCATGAGATGTCCCTGTGTGATGGAAGATGCTTAGAGCAGAGTTACTTATAATTCATTTGCTCTTAGACAGCCAGGAAATAAGGCAGCAATGCGCTGGGCCTTAGTGGTGTAGATATATATAATGAAGTTGCACCATATGTTCCTTTCAGAATTCCTATCATTTTCCATTTACCTAATTTAATATGCTTGGCATAACATAGAATTTATACCCAACATACTGACATTCACAGCAGATACTTCTAGCAGACTAAAAGGTCACAAAATTGTCCACAGAAGGAGTCAGAGCCTGTCTTTATTCAGCTAAAATATCTGTTTACATTTCAATGAACATTCTGTTTCTCGGTAAGGAACATGAAAAAAGGCCATCTATTTATATGTTAGCCTAATAACCATCCTTCTGTCACTAAGACAAGTGAGCTTGAAATGGTTTCAAATTTTTCCTTTTTTTTTCTCTGATCCATCATTTTTTCAAGAATAATAATAAAAACACTTAATACTCAAAAGCATATATTTAAAATCCTGTCTTCTTAAGGGATTACACTTAATGTCTCTTCTAAAAAAAGACATATCTAATTTCACCATTGTCTTTCTGAAAGGTTAAGTATGTAGAGAAAAATTAATGCTTTTGTTGATGTACAGATTATCTGTCTTGTCATTCAGTTTGATATTTTTCACAGACTATTTCAATGAATGACAGATAAATTGCAGTTACAACTGATTTCTGGATTTTCTCTCAAGAAAAAGGAAATAGAGGGGTTAAATAACCTCAGGAGTTATAATTTCAAAACATTTTTAAGGGCTGGAGATTTTTGTCATAGACATATATTTGTGCTTTGGGGAGAGAGCAAACTCTATGGCACATAGTAAAAATTTGTTTGTTAATATGTAAGTCTTGAAAAGTAATGAATTTTTTGATAAAAAGAGCTTAAAACTCTCTCAAACTCCAGACAGGCCTTCACATGCCTCCTATTTATGCAGACATGAGTGACTTAATAGTTAAACGACACAATTTGCATTTTTCTTCACAGGAAATACTGTGTTAGTGCTCAGGACTGGAGTCTTGGCAGTGTACATTAAGATGCATAGAAAAAGTCCCCAGCTCTCTGGATTTGGGTGGGGGAATATGTTCTCCCACAGTCTCCATTCCAGCTTATATATGAAGTGCCTTTTTAGTCAGATTATATTTATTGCAAACAAGCTGTTCTGACTCACCATGGTGTAATGACTGAATTTGTGACTGAGGGAAGAGCAGTGGATGTTTGCAGGGATTTTAGCAAGGCTTTTGACACAGGCTCCCTGTTTTTTAGCACCAAGTTTGGGCTAATATGGTCTGGATGGGGATGGAAAGTCTGAGCAGATGATGAGGCTCAGAGGGTCATGTTTTCTGTTTGGACCTGGATGCCTGCAGTGAATGGGGTATCCACATGTCTGTTCTGGAACCTGTCCTGTCCAATGGCTTTACCAGTGGAGTGTGCTCTCACTGGGTTTTCAGATTATACCAAGCTGGGGAGGGGTCAGGCAATATACTGAGGGATAGGGCTGCCAGCCATAGTGACTGAGACAATCTGCAGGAATGGCACAACACGAACCTTATGAAACTCAACCAGGACAAATGCCAAGTCTTGCACACGTGAAGAAAGAGGGCCGTGCACTGATGTAGGCCAGGATGTACTGAGCCTGGTGAAAGGATGGCTGTGGGGGCACACAATAACCCAAGAGAAGCCACCCAGCACCCATGGGGAGGTGGCAGGAGATGAAGATGAGCTCTTCTCGGTTATTCTCAGCTTGATAAATTTATGAACAGTATTATGGGATATGATTGCCAGCAATGGCAGAGAGAGAATTCCATGACCCAGGACTGTGTGCAAGCTTACCTCTTTTGTTTAGATGAATCCAAGACCAAGCTCCTCATCTTCAAAAATAAATAAATGGAAAATTAAACATGGTAAATATTGTAAATATTTCATTGGCACTCCAGAGCGTGAAATCAAAAACAATCTTTTGCCAGCTCGAAGTTATTAGAGTTTGTAGCTGTGAGGCTTGATAACCATGATAATAAATGGTATTTATATTCTAGTGCAAAATGGATATCAGAACCAAAATGTACAAATATGGACAAACCTAATTAGGCTGTGATTGCTTTATTCATACCACAGCAGCTGAAGGCTATATGATAAACAGCTTCAAAGCAGATGCAGCATATGTCATTGGCTTGATTATTAAAAATTGACATTTTATTCAAGCCTAAATTTGAAAAAGGAGATTGTATACAAATTCAGTCATGCTATAATGGTATTGCATTGCAACAAAACACTAATTTTCTTCATGAAGTAATTGCATAGTTCCAGTTTGTCATGATAAATCAAACCTGAACCCAAGCATAGGAAGAATCTAAAAAAAGTCAAAGTGCTGTTCAAGATGCACAGTCCAGAATATAACCTTGCAAGAGTCAAATGTGGACTAGTCACACACATATTTATAGCCAGGTCACAGCAACTTTCTACAGCCAACCACAGTTTCAGTGGAAGGAAAGGCATGTTTCCACAGTAACACACTGTACAAAGGCAGCATTTTTTGATTGAGATACACCTGCCAAAGATCTGACTGCAGTCAGGGGAGCCACAGTGTTATATCTCCTTCAGTTTTAATAAAGCAGCAATCCACAACCCTAACAGGTATATTTCATACTTACTGTGAGGATATATGGGGTGCTGCTGACCTCCCACAGGAGGTCTGGGTATGGTCCTGAGTGCTCATTAGCAAGGATAAGCCTTAAAACCTGGAATCTGGAGTGAAGAGCTCCTGCTTCTGCTAGTGCTACTGGAAGAGCATGCAGGGAGGCAAATCCCCACAGCATGGCTGGTGTGCTTCTCAGCAGAAGTGCACTCAGATGAGATGGGGCTATTATGGGCTAATCTGGGAACGTTAAGGTACAATTTTGTTTTCACTGCACAGCACCATAAAGCAAATAAACAGTGCTTAGCCTATAATAAAACTCAGTAAAATTCCATTGAGTGATATCAGGATTGATCACTGTAAGTTGACATTGCTATTTCCACATTCCTCCAAAAATCTGCCCAGTGCAACGTACAAAGCACTGGCATGATGCCAGATTTGTTCAGCTCTAAGTGTTATTAACCACCAGAATTGCAATTGAAACATAGATGGTAACCTAAATATACACAACAGAAATACAATACTGGGAAAACAGGATCAGAAAAACAAATTTGAAAGGGAACAACATTATTTTAGTTATGACTAAATACATTGGTTATTAACTTAATAAATTAAGTTCACATTGCTTTAAATAAAGAAAATAAAATATTGATTTTTTAAAAGTTTTTTATGTCCTGTGCAGAGAATGCTGCCTGGTAAGTATTTGATCAGAGTTACTGGTATTAAGGAAGTAAAGGCTTATTTCAGTTGGCTAAACTGGGATATACAGTTTTGTGTGAAATTCTGAGTCCACAGCAGACAGGACAAAATGGGGAATGTCTTGCTGAAATCCTTCAGGACACCTGACAACAGCAGGAAAAAAATTTGGAATATGCCAGAATGTCTCCAGTGGCAGTAGGTGTCTAGTCTCAGGCAGCGTAACAGAACCCTAAATGTGTCTGTGTTTTATGACATGGTTATAAAAGTTCTGAGTATTTCTGAAAATTTTTCCAGTGAAGATTTGGGAAGAAACGGTTCAATCTACTGGCACAACCATGCATTGCAAGTATTGATCAAGGAAAAATTTATTTACAGAGATTTTTCAGATACAAACATAAAATAGCACATATTATATATATATTTTACAAAAATGAATATTGAAATAATAAACATGGTACACCACAATACAACATCAATGAGCTAAACATAACAGCAACAGAAATCTATGTCTGGAAGAAGTTTGCTGTTAGTTGTACATAACCAACAGAGCTCTACAGTACCGTGAGTGGAATTTCCAATGGACGGGAAAACGTCCATTGACTGCATTTCATAAAAAGTACTATAGTAAGGGTACATATGCCAAGTAATTATGTTGCATTTTGTAATAATGCTGAAAACACAGAGTCTTAATAAAAGTTATATAGGGCTGAATAAGCAGTGGATAAATGTTTGGGGAAGAAGAATGTGTAGAGATTATACAAAATACTGATAAAGTGGCTTATTGGTCCTTTTATTAAGTTTAATGTGTAGATTAAAAAGTGTTGCAACACCCAGTCTTAAACCACCAGAGAGAAGTAAAAAAAAAAAAAAAAAAAAAAAAAAAAAAAAAAAAAAAAAAAAAAAAAAAAAAAAAAAAAAAAAAAAAAAAGAGAAAAAATTAAAAGGAAAATAAAGAAGAATCGCACCAAAAAACAAAAGTTTCCCCTCTACTTATTTTGTGCCATGGTCAACATCTGTGCGTGCGTGTGTGCTTTCAGGAGCGCCGCACTGAGGGGCTGCCAGGCGCTACCCCAGCATGTGGGCGCTGCCACCCCTCACCAGCCTGTCCAGTAACTGGTGCATGCAGAATTTCACCATTTGCCAAAGCAGAGTTTTCCTTGCTTACATTTTTGTGGAGCAGACCCTGAGCAGGCTCGGGTGAGAGAGCCGGTCCCTGCCCAGCCCAGCCGGGCAGCTTTGCACCACCTTTCACCTCCCTGCCACCCTGGGGCTGCCCGCCGTCCTGCTCCTGAGAGAAAGCTGTTGAAAATTCCTTGTCCTTTGCTGCTGTCCAGCAGTCCTGGGCGAGCCTGGCAGGGCCCTTTCCCGGCCGGCTCAGTAGGGGTATTGCTTCTGCTTCTTGCCCGAGAAGCAGGCGAGCCAGGTGCACACCAGCATGGCGGCCGCCGCGCCCCCGCCCGTGCAGTAGTAGGCCCAGCCGATGTGGCACGTCCCTGCAAGGCAAGAAGGACACGGATCAGCGTTAGATGTGGGGGATAGCGCCGCTGCCACCACCTTCCCCTTCTGCCTGCCCAGGAAAACACTTTTCTGAGATTTCGGCCCACTTGTATGCCCACCTCGGACAGGCAACGCGGGGCGTAATTCAGGATTTGCCACTGCAGCGGAGGAGTTTGAAGCTGGATGCGACTGAGAACTGCTGGGTAACCATGACCCAGGGCATGGGGGACCTGCTCACATCCCCTCACACAGGCATCGACCCTGAGCATCCGCAAAGGAGCGCAGCATCAGGGGATCACTGTATGGGGACTGCTGTGGGAATGGAAGCACAAAGCCCGGAAATAAAAAATAGACAAATTTCCCTACCCCCGCCCAAGATCACAACCCATTGCTGAAAAATGATCTTCTGTCTAATGAGTGTCACAATATGGCTTTCAATCCATTTAAAGGCCTAAGCATCTTTATACAGTCAAACTCATCAACAGTGCTGGGGAATCCCACAGTGGAGCATAAAGTGATTACTTCCCTTTCAGGCACTGTGCCTGCAGCAGGGGAGGAGATCAGGAAAACAGCAGCTGCAGCAGGGAGGAAGCCTCTTTAGAGATCTCCAAAAGCAAGGAGATGGCTGCTGCTACTCCTCAGGATTTCAACCCATCTCAAAATCAACTTTCACTTAGGCTGCATCATCTTTGTCTTTTTTGAGTGCCTGGGACTTGTTACCACTGAGGTTCTTTCTGTGTTGTTGACACCTCGGGTGATACCATCCTGCTTTGAGCAGTGAGTGCTCTCAGTAAGACACAAGCAGTAATGCAACACTTCTTTCCCAGCTTTCCCCAAAGCAGCAGAAACCACTCTTCCCTTCAGAGAACAGAAGGTATCAACAGAGTTTCCATCTAGAAATAGGTGTCATGCTGGTATTCTGTCCCAATGGCATCCCTGAGGGCCAGGCTTGAGGTTCAGGCAATTATCAACTCAGCTAATCCTGCCTCAGGCACAAGAAACACAAAATGTCTGTTCATTTTAACATGTCCAAGGCATTTGCAAGCCTCAAGGCAGACAGCACCTCCACTGACTGCAGGATATTGTCTGGCAGGCTTTGTAAGGAGCCATTATTGGGAGGCAACACTTATGCTCCAAAGGTCACTTTGAAGACCTTAGGCTGACACCACAGCAGGAAGTATAATACTTTTTTCATTTCTTTTTCTTCATAACCCTCATAAATTTTTATTTTAAAAATGTCCAGTGAAACAAAGATCCTGATGTGACCAAGAGGACTTGAGGACTTGGCTTGAGCTTACTAGTCTCTCTCCTTAATGTGCTGGAGCAGACACAGTGATTTACTTGGTTTTGTCATCTAGTTGTGCTCTGTAGATAACACCAATCTTGCCTTCCTTACAGAAGACCACACGGAGAGTCTGACTTCCTGTAGAAAAAGCCATCAGAAATTGTGGAGAGCTGTCAAGTGCCTGGCAATGTCCCTGATGTTGACACTTGCCCAATCACTTGCAGTCCATGGAGAGACCTGTCTCTGGGCCACCTATTGCTTTGCCTGTGTACACACCCTGTCCTTAGCTTCTGTTGGGAATTTCAAAACAAGACTTAAGTTTACACCAGATTTTTAAACCCGCTGGATTGCTTTGAAAATGACCACATTTATACCAGGGTAGGGTGTGTTACAGCATTTCTTGTGATAAGATGGGACTCCATCTGATAGGTCTTTTTAAATTGTGAAATATTCCAAGAACTACTACAGAATTGTAGTTGCAGCCTGAAAAAGTAATTTTTTTCTCATCATGATGTTTCTAGGTAGAGAAAATGTCAAAATACTACTTTTAAAAGAGCCTAAAGGTTCACCTGGTGGCACTTCCCAAACCTGTAAACTAAGCAGGATAAAATTAAGTAAATTTGACCTTTTTATATGGTGTGATTTCAATTTTTGTACCTCAGCAGTGGGAGAGAGTATATGTGATACATATTAAGAAGTAAGGAACTGTTAAATCAGTGTCAGAGATGTGTTCAACAGATACAACATACACATTCACTCTTGGCTGAAGAGAATAACATTTATTTCTCTAGACCGTGCTCCATTCCCCAAGGAAAAGACCCAAAGGACCACTGCCCTACTTAATGCTCTGAGGCACGGCAGGCAGGCAGCCTCTTGATCTAACAAATGCAATGTAGCTCACAAGTGTGAGCTGGGTCAAGATGAACAAATGAAAGAATGGGAGAGCAGGAGGATGGATGAAAGAGCCAGGAGCTTGACCTTAGAGCAATAATAACACAGCAATAAACCTGGCCGTTATTTCCAGCCCATGTCAAGAGCAATGGGAGGCCTTGGAAAGAACAGCTTGATCTGTACTCGCATGATGCTGAGCAGAATAGAATTTCAAGCTGTTGTGCTGAAAAAGAGCCTGCAGCAGCGCAGCTACCTGAGGGTATAGGACTTAGCTACACTTTTCATTGCAAGCATAGTTAAGGATAGATACAAGACAGAGATAATCCATCTCAAAGGTACCCATTGCAATGAATGCTTACATTGCATAGGCACGTGTCAAAATGAAACAATGACAGGAATTTTATAACCCTATATTACACAAGGAGGGAAACATTTTTGGAGTTATTGTTTCTGCTTTAGTGTTCCCATTTTACCACATGTATGGCCTATTTTAGTCTACTGCATCCTAAAGAAAGATTGTTGGCTATCAATAATTGGGTAATTTAGTTGCAGTTTAAATTGTAAAATGATTTCTACTTCACATTGATATAAAACACTCATTTTAAAAGGAACAGAAAGCTTTATAAAAAGCAGAGTTGAGAAGCTATTACTGCACTGACACCAGCAGGACAAGTCATGTTTCATTGGTAAGCAAATGTTGAAGAGATTTGCAGAACTGGGGCTTAAATTCAACCATCAAATAGAGCAGTTTGCATTCATGAAGCCTGTCATATAAAAGATTAGAAATCCATTACTGCAGTTTCTCTTTTCTTTTTTAATGTCCAAGTTCTGAAATGAGAAGCAACAGTACCTAAATACTTGAATAAATTAAAGCAGTTGTTGAAACCATGTCAATTTTCACGCACACAAAAAGGCACAAAAGCTTTGTTGTTTCCCTGAAAGATGCATTGGAATACACACATATATATACATAGGTAGAGGAGTCCCCACCCATTGAGGGTGTGGAGGTGCGAGCAAGAATGTGCACATATTCTTGCTCCTAAGATGGGCTAGATCTGAGTTGGTGCCAAAGTAAATTCCCAGCAGCTGAAGTGCTCTTCTAGCAGATAGAGATGACAAGCATCACAGCAGCTTGCTTCTCTGCACAGAACTGGCATCGCTGTTAACAAATCAGTCTTTACCTAACAGGTCAGTATTGAGGGAGAAGCTGTGTCTTCAGCACTTCAGCACTTTGTTAATTCTAGATTTTTTTTTAAATATATTTTTTTACAGAGAGCATAAATAATTGGAGCTCTTGGTTGCTCAGTGAAGCAGGACTGTCCAGGTTGGCTCAGGTAAGTTTGTGGCCAGCCATTAAGAACTTTGTTTTCACCTTTGTTTTACTGTGATTGGCAGCAAGAGAGTGTCAGTATGAGCACTGAAATAATAAAATCATGGAGCTTGCAGCTTTAGGCATGGATGGCCATTTTCCAAGCAAATAAAGGAATGAAGACTGGAAACATTCCACTCTTTCTTAAGAGGATTGAGAAAAATCATGGTCCCTGAGGACAGAAGACAAAAATTATGGAGAAAAAGGACACTATCAAAAGGAGATTTACAGAAAAGAGTCCCATGGAACATAAGACAGTATTTACTAAACCAAAAGAAATCAGTAAATGTGGAAAGGTAGTTTTGCAGTGATGAATGGGCTTACTAAAAAGCACTTCCATGTCTTTTCCTAATTTCTAATGCGCTCTTCAAGACCAGGATATGCATCCCCTTGCTTCCCTCCTTCTCTTAATATATAGGCAAATAAAGATTAAGACAAATTTGAGAGTGAGTAAAATTTGGCAACAAAAAATATGTAGATTCTTGATCTACCATGGAGCTGTGCCAGGATCCAGTTGCCAAAACATAATTTTACCAGGATTTCTATTCATGATGCCTTATAAATAATTATCACATATAGTTATCGAGGTCTTGGAAATAACATATGGTTTCATCTAAAATAACCAATAATTGCCACTTATGAAGAAATATCCTGAATATGAAAGTGTCTTGGATGCAAACCTGTTAATTGCAAGACTTAGTATCTTAAATATTTGTACTTTTTTTGCTGTTAATTTTAAGACTATCCTGGACTCGCAGTCTGGAGTATTTGGCAAACTCTAATCAATTAACCTTAAGTACAGGCTACTTTCCAAGTTGAAGGAGAGAAGGTTGCAGAATAAGCCAGACTGTAAAGAACAAATTATATACCTTCAAAAATAAAATGTACAATTCCTACTTCCAAGAAGTTGTGCAGGAATTCTAATTAACAGATTCACATGAGAGTACAGTACTATAGAGAATGTGAATTCACATAATCAATCAGGCTGTTGGGAAAGTAGTCAGAAAAAAAAGAAGTGTGATGTTAAGGGATATACTGGGATTTGGAACTATGAAAGACATAAATGAATGTAAAAGATAATCAGCTAATTAATAAGAAGTTAAACCTATTTTGAAACAAAGCCAAGATATATTAAATAGCTCAAGATCTTTTTCTTGACACAGTAACAATGAAAAACTGTCATGTGAAATCAGCTGCAAAAGCAGGAAAAGAAGCTGAAACTTGGAATGCATCCAGAAAGAATTAAAGTAGTTATGTGAAACTAAGAAAGAACACTATATAAGGTAAAACTGCAGCCCAGCAAATAGCCTGATACAAAATAATTAATTCAGTGAAACTGTTACTTTTTCTGTGGCAGATATGACTTTCTCAATGGAGTTATCTTTTTTAAAAATATATGATTTTTTAATGCATGTATATTTTTTTCAAGCTATTTTGGTTACTTAGAATTG